CCGCCTCTCCCTATGGATCGAAGCGGGATAACAGTTGATATAAAAATATAATACAAAAATACAAAACGTAAGATATATAAAAACCAAAACAACAATATCCCCCCCCCCACATAAAACCCCATAATCCCTCTACTAAAACCAATACCCTATCCAGCGGTATTATTATTATTTAAGTTTATTGTTGCTATATATGCCTCTGTATATATCTATATATCCTTTAAACACGTTCAAATCGTCCAGTTGTGATGCTTTCATGAGACAATGAAATCCTCCTGTTTGAATATTGACTATGGGTGCCTTCTCGGGACCCTTGCATTTCGGGTAACAGAACGAAACATCAGGAAGGCAAGGAGTGGAGAGATGCAGAAAATGGAAACGTATAACCTTGAGTCCTCCAAAAAACGAGACATTCCAAGTTACATTTCTCAAGCCCACCCCATTTTTCTGGCTCCCCTATCTCTTTGCTTTTATTTCTTCATTTGCTGGTCTGCTTTTACAGCCCTAAGGAAAAAAGATCCCCATGAAGACTGAACTCGTGTACCCGTCTTTTGCTCCTTATTAGGGCCTTTTCATGAAAAGTTATGTCTTCGCAGGTCTGTTTGTACCACTCAGTTACTCACACTTTTATGAGGCTGCCCTGTTTTCCTTGGCTTGGGGCGTTGTTATTTTCTCTATGTATTTTACCCACCGCTTTTTCACTCCCCTGCTATGAACCGTTAACAAAATTTCTTCGTCAGGACTGACACTCGGTCCAGGAGTATCAGTCTATTAAGCCGAAGACAGGCCCTTTATTTGTTCAGCAAATATTAGCTTGACCTCTCAGGGCTGTAAAATCACATACAGGAGATACGAAATAGAGAGGCCCCATTGAGATGATTGGGCCTTTGGGAGCCTTGTTAAAATTTTCGCCAAAGACCGGGTTTCTTGCTTCTTGAGCAATTTACGCCGAAGCAAATGATTCATTTCTTTTCTCCTCCTTTACAAAAATAATAATCACAGAATCTATTCTTGCATTTAGAGCAGGGGCAAAACTTGATTCTCTTTATAGTGTGAAATTTATATAACCCAAGAGATAAGGAGGTATCTCTGTGGACGTGGTGATAAAATAATTAAAATTTGTCCTCCCAGCAGTGAAAATTTCTGCAGATTTCTGCACTTTGTATAAATATAGTCAGCCCTCCATATCCAATGATTCTTTATCCATGGATTCCACAATCCACGGTTTGAAAATATTCAAAAAATTATAAATTCCAAAAAGCAAACCATGATTTTGCCATTTTATATCAGGGACACCATTTTACTATGCCATTGTATTTAATAGGAATTGCGCATCCACAGATTTAGGTATCCATGGAGGATCCTGGAATCAAACCCCAGCGGATACCAAAGGCCCAATGTAGGCATAATTTATCAATGGAATTGTTATTTTGAGTCTTTGAGTCAATTCTGACTTACGGCAATGCCTTCTGGGGTTCTCTAGGTCACATTTCTTCAGAGCTGGATTGCCATTGTCATCATCATCATCAAGGGCATACAGTGAGTGTAGTGTATCTTTATTTCAGCAAGGCCTTTGACAAGGTCCCCCATTATATTCTTGCAAACAAGATAGTAAAATGTGGGCTAGACAATACAACTGTTAGGTGGATTAGTAGCTGGTTGACTGACCGAATCGAAAGGGTGCTCAGCAGTGGTTCCTTTTCATCTTGGAGAGAAGTGACCATTGGGGTGTCCAGTGG